ACTTGATAACAAGTTAATTAGTTTCGACTAAGAAAACTAAATAAATAAAATAAATATTTTATTTAAACTATTATCTTCTTTAAACAAAATTATTCACTAATAACAAAATCAATTCGTTGACACCCATTCATTCTGATCCACGCAAAAATAAAAATAATTGTTATCACCAATTAAAATACACTCTCCCAAATTAATCGGTGACAACTTGGTGCGAGTTTTGTGGAAACTTACACCAAAGAAGATATAAAAATCGGAAATCTTAATTGAATCTACGGATTCCTTCGAATTCTTTTTACATTTATTTTATTATTCTTTTTATTAATTTTATTTTTATTTTTTTTTATTTTTTTTTTTTATTTCTTTTTATTTTTTATTTTTTTTTTATTGTTACCTTGCGAGGTAGCTTTTTATTATTTCATTCTAACTTACACTAATTATTTTATTACTTTTATTTTTATTTTATTACCTTGCGAGGTAACTTTTTATTATTTCATTCTATCTTACACTAATTATTTTATTATTATTATTTTTATTTTATTACCTTACGAGGTTAAAAAATTTATTTCTATTCTTATTGAAGGAACGTAAATGCAATTAAGAGATTATAATTCCGAAATTGTTAAAGAAGAAATTTTCATTCAAGTTTACAAGGGAGTCCTCCAAGGAGAAATCAAAGACCCCAAAGTAATTCATCTAGTATTTAAATATTTTTCCGAAAACCCAAGTCAACTATTTCAGTTACACCATCAAAAAGTAGAAAAACCATATAGAAATCCTCACTCAAATAAGAAGTGTTATTCCTGCAGGATCAAAGGCCATATAAAAAGAAATTGTAACTTACAAGGACTAACTGAGGAGAAAGAAATCGAATTTGTCTTCCAGAAACCATCAAGAAAAGAAGATTCGGAAGAATTAATTAAAGAAGAATTTATATTTCAGGAAGAAGTTCTTTTGAAGATATACCTGACGAACCACCATACGATTTTGATCCTTACGAGGATTAATTGAATGAACATAGATCCAAGCGAAGAAACAATCCAAATCATCCAGAAAAACACAAGGATCCATAACCAAGTACATCAACAACACCCACACGTAAGGGATATATCACAAGCACATAAAGATATATCTTGTTCCATTTGTCAACCTATCAATCGGAATTTCTCACCGCAATTTCTAATCTTTTGGGATTGGATACAAGAAACACATCAAGCAATAGAGTGCACTTCAGAAACTGTAACCACCTTCGAACAAATATTACTAGAACAAGGACCAGTCCAACCAATACAACTCGTCAGAGTATGATTAATTAGTATTAGATATAGAGTATACCCAAGAAGTTTAAATACAATAGTCCGGGATTACTTTTTAACAGCTAGAGGAACTCACCATTTTAGTATAACATTAGACGAAGTACCTCAAAGTTCTCTGGAACTTATAACTGAAGAAGAAGATAACCCTAGTGAAATTAGCAATTCAATAATAGTCAGAGATTCAAATTCGGAAAGGGACTCGACTCAGATAGTGACTCAGATAGTAATTCAGACGAATCAACATTTGGTTTCGACCAACTTTTTAATCAAGTAAATCAACCTAACCACCAACAACAAAATCTAATACAAATGAATCAACAAGTCTTACAAAACTTGGCAGCTACATTAACTCAAGCGGTAAATGCAATAGTGCCACCACAACATGCTGTGACCGAATTAAATAATGTTAAGTACCCAGAATACTATGGAGGAGACCAAGACCCAATCACATGGTTGGAAGAAATGGAACAAGCCTTTGTAACGAATAGAGAAGCCAATGATAGAAGACTAGCAGCAACAGTACCAAGATTAAAAGGAGGAGCTGCTACATGGTAGACTCAAGTCAGAGGAAATATAGACCGTTGGAATGATGCTCATGATGCTGCTACAATTGCAGCAAGCTTTGTTCCGAATTTTCAAACAAGGTACAGACTAGAGCCATGGAAGAAAATTGGGCAGCTGGATTAAAAAAACGAAGACAATTACCTGGAGAGACAGTAGATGCTTTTGCAGCACACATATACGAATTTTTCAGGAGGATTGAACATGGGGGAAACAACTATCCAAATAGAGTCAAAGCAAGAATGTTCATGGAAAGGTTACGACCAGAATTATCTATAGCAGTAAGTCCATTCTTACCTGACACTATTCAAGATGCAATAGATAGAGCCAAGGCTTGTGAGATGACATATTCTAGAGGAGGAACCTTGTCAGCATATTCAGCAGAACAATTCATGCCTAACATTCCAGAGATGAATACAGGAAGTAATCAACCATTGCAAGGGTTAATTGATCAACTAGTTAATCTAATGAAGAACAATAATAATGTCCAGCAGAAATCAAGGATTGAAAACCGTTCGCCGGTAACATGCTACAACTGTAAACAGCAGGGTCATATAATACCGAATTGTCCACAACTCTCTAATATTAATAACAGCGATAATAATGGCAATAGTAACAACAGTGGAAACATAGGAGTCAGATGTTATCGCTGCCAGGAATTAGGACACTACAGCAAAGACTGTCCACAAAACAAAAATGGTAATAATGGAGGAAACAACAACAGTAGTAGTCGTAACAATAATAGGAACAACAACAACAACAATAGTAACAATAATGTGACCAGGAATAATAATAATAATAGTGGTAACAACAATAATAATTGGAATACCAATGATGTTGAACATATGAAATATATAATACAAAAATATACAATAATACGAATAAGCAAAGTAAGGATTTTTATTATTTTTATTATTTATTAATAGATTTATGTTAATATATATATTAAAAAAAATAATTATATAAATCAAAAGATTGAAAAACCATTAGAATTAATATTAAATACACCAGTGTATTTACAAAAATTGTCAGACACAGAATCGGTATTCGCTAACGAGTAAGTCTTGATTATTATTATGTAAGAACAATTATAAACAAATCATATTATATTAATATTGATTATCATTTTAAAAAATAGTTACAAAAAACTTATTAAACAGTTTGAAAAGAATGCATTTTTAGATGATATAAATGATCTGGATGATGATGAAATTGAAGTGGTGGAAGAGGAAAATAATCAAAATATAGGTCAATATAACAGTAATAATAAAATAAATAGATTTTTCTGATTTAATTAAACTTAATTTTCTTTTTTAGATTTATCATCAAGTCAATTGGATCTTCAGAAAACAATATTTTGTCGTGCTATAAGAATGGTTCATGAAAGTCAACTTCCTAAAAGGTATATATATTATCCACACTATTATTTATTTTTTATTGAGGAGGAGGTGAATGTAAAAAATAAAGAATCTCTATATTTATTAATTAATTGTAATAATGATTACAATAATTATTAACGTTTTTCATCATTGCCATTTATTATAACTATTTTTTAGTGATGGAGAAAATTATTTTTTGGATAGAATGTCACCAAACGAAATATATTTATTAAGATATTCTGAAATCAAACATTTATTATTAGAAGGTTACGTGGAACTTATATAACTTTATTATTAATAAAACACAATTTAGAAATGATTGTCGATAATTATATCTTGATCATTAAGTGTTCCCGAAACGTTCATAGTCGCTAGAATTTAATTCATTATTGTTAAAGGAATCAATCAAGCTTTTTCAAAAATGTAAAGATTCATAATTAATTCCCTTATCGTTAATATTAAAACAACCATGCCTTTTTTAAAAAATGTGAAGAAAATCAATTAATCAAGCTTTCTTTCGAAAATGTAAAGATTCATAATAATTTGGAATCAATTTACTTGTTGTTAATGTTTAAACACCATGCCTTTTTTTGAAAATGTAAAGAAAATACTTTCCTGCCACCAAAAAAACGTAACAATTCGGGATTGATTCGTTACTAACTTAAATTTATTAATAGTAATGGTGACACCTCACATTAATGTGATGAGAAAGACCAATTGAAAAAAGCGCAAAGCACCAACGTGTTAAAGACTATAGTGATTGGGAGTGGTTGAGAATTTGAATGATGGATGCCTTTATTGTTATGGATTTCATTTATTTCTGTTTTCTAACATAATATTATTATACTATTAAAAAATAGCTAGTAAAAATAATAGGTTTTAAGGTGGTGCCCCAGGATCCTTTTTTTTTTTTGGAAGTATTGAATTTATATAATTTTCAGAACTCATAATCTCTTGTGTAATTGTTATATGCACCAGGCCTTTTTTTGAAGAATATCAAAATGAATATTTCAAAAAAATCCCCACCAAGGATATCTGCCGCAATTAAAAAATCTGGTCGCAATTAGGTTGCAACCACCATCAAAAGTTGTAATTGGTATCCTTAACCATCACTAAGATTACTAAACAGGACATTTAATTTTTCGTAAAAAAATCAAAAATCAGAATAACATTTCAACCATTTCTAAATGAGATTTATTTTTTTCTGGAAATTTTTAGTTACCTGTCAAACTTATTTAATAATTAAAGGATTTCAGCAGATATTTATTAACTGTTTGGGCCAGAGATACATTTGATGTGACTAAACGAGTAGCAACTCAACCATTAAAGATTTAAGATAATAAATATTATTAATTAACCACTAATTTTTTCGACGTTTTCAACACTAATAATATGAGTTGATGAAATAATTTTACTAGAATGTTTAGAGAGAGCAAATTTAAAAGTTGCAAATACCACAACAGATCTAATCAAGTTCTCTAATAATGAACATTTTAAACTTGATGATTCAAACATTAAAATCAAATTACAACCATTATAAAAAATTTCAACAAATCTTGGAACTATATGAATTTCTAAATATTTAGAAATTTTAAAAAATCAATGTAAGTTCTTGGATCGAATCCTTATAAGCCTACCAAAAAATAGTCAATAGTTTCAAATTATAATCACAAAGTTACCAGAAAAATGGACACCCAGATTTAACATTCATTATCAGGTAGGTCCCATGTAATCACTGGCAGAAATAAAACTTATTTTTTTGCAATTTTATATTATAATCATGTGACACAATCAGTTTATCGTTTAATAATAAGAATAAATCTGCCATGCCTCTAAAGTTGGTATCTGCAACTGATTTGAAATTCTGCAACCAGTTGCAACCTAGGTTGAAACATCCCAAATTGCAATTTCTTAGTTGCAGACACCAACTTTACACGCCTCAATAATTCTTGTTTTAAATATAGCTGTTTTGACCCGTGATAGTTTATTAACCTGTTAAAATTAATATCATAAATTTCCCTCTATTATTATATGTAACAATTACTGTTAGTTTTTTATGGATATAAATAAACACAGTAAAAATAAATAAAGTCAATAGCTACCATTGTGGTTATTAAAGAAATAAATTTACACTTAATAATATTGTTCTTCTGGGACACATTCTAATTATTTTATATATTTAAATGTATGAATGTTATACCCACAATCCGGGACCGCTCATTAAATAACAGAAAACTGACAAAATTAACAGTTCATGTTTTTGTAAATAAATATAGTTTTTACTTTTGATTTAGATAGTTTGATATAAAATTTTTTTATGTAACATAATAAATGCATGACTTTCTATGGATGTGAAAAATTGATTACTATTATTACTATGAAATTTAAAAAATTTGCCCAGATCAGCATTAATTAAATCCTTTCCTTAACTCGTGGATCATGATTTAATTTCTTCTTGTTTATTTTCAATAGTTTCATCATCATTTTCTTGCTTAATTTCGTTAATAGTTTCATTCTCTTTTTGTTGTTTCTCCACTGTATCAACCTTGTTACTTTGTTCTGATTCCTCCTCCATTTTATCATCTTTGTTACTTTGTTCTGGTTCCTCCTCCATTTTATCATCTTTGTTACTTTGTTCTTGTTCCTCCATTTTATCATCTTTGTTACTTTGTTCTTGTTCCTCCATTTTATCATCTTTGTTACTTTGTTCTTGTTCCTCCATTTTATCAGCTTTGTTACTTTGTTCTTGTTCCTCTCCTGAATCAACATCATTCTCTTTTTCTTGTTCATCCATTGTATCAGCTTCATTCTCCTTTTCTTGTTCCTCCATTTTATCAGCTTCATTCTCCTTTTCTTGTTTCTCCACTGTATCGGCTTCATTCTCCTTTTCTTGTTTCTCCACTGTATCGGCTTCATTCACCTTTTCTTGTTTCTCCGCTGTATCAGCTTCATTCACCTCTTCTTGTTTCTCTGCTGTACCAGCATCATTCTCTTTTTCTTGTTTTTCTAATATATCAGCATCATTATCACTACCTTCAGGTGGTGGTGGAAAGTATAAAGGCAATAATCCCTCGTATATTTTTCTATTACTTTCCTCAAAAACACAAAAGATTATTCTATCAATCTATTAAAAAAATATCTAGCTCAGTTAATTTTTATCCTAGTTTCAAAAAAAAAAGTTCATTAAATTCTGAATTATTATTTATACCTTTTCAATATGTTCAAAATCATCCATCCATTTTCTAATTGTTTTCATAGCCACTTGTGCAGCACCAACACGAGGATATCCATAAACACCTAATACAATATTTAATAAAATTTCTTATAAATATGACTCAACTTATTAAATAAAACATTAAAAACTTGTAGTAACTTAACAAACCTGTGCTTATATTTGAAAATGCCTAAATTTTAAATCATACACATATATTGTATTATTAGTAGATTGAATAGTATGGAGAATGATGGTGATTTTAAACTTACTATACTCTTAAGGTTGTTGTCAATCATAACTTCTAATGATCGTCTATAAGCACTATTGAGAAGTTCTTCGTGTTCTCCTACAGGCCCAACAGTATGAATAATATCTAAATAATTAAGCATTAAATTAGTAGAATAATTAAATAGGAAGTATAGAATAACTTCAGAATTTCAGTTATTTTCAATCTAAATAACTACACATACATTTTGCTGGTAAATCATAACCTAAAGATAAATGTGCGTGTAAGATAAGATGAATTATCCTATAAATATATATATATATATATATATATCAATTAATCATTTATTTACCTTTTGTTATTTTAGCATCCTATTAATTATTAATTATCATTTAAAATGTTAATAATTTCTAAACCTTATAAATACTTTTAATATTAAACATTTAAATCTTACATACACCAGTTGGACAACCTCCCAACTCCCGACATTCACCCCTTAATCCTGGCCCTGCAGCTCTAAATTTTCATCTCTTATTTGAGAAAACGCTTTAATGATAACATGAAGTTTTTAAAAATAAATATTATAATTGAGTGTTCACCTGTGAATCGCCCCATCAACTAAAAAAATTTATTATTCATTTAATCAGTCAGTGCCTTGAAAAGATATTCATATATTTAATTATGATGAATTTTCCCAATCTCTTACCTCCTCCTCCTCCCATGAGAAACTCATTTGCAGCATTAACTATTCATATATTGTAAAGTTATTAAAAAAATTTTTAAAAGTCATCAGTGAGCTCTTTACATACCAATTTTAAACACAAAGTGTAAAATATTCTTTATAATGTTGTTCAGGTAATGTTAATAACAATTAATATGTTATCAATTAAATAAATAAACATAGATATATGGTCATATTTCCTAATCACTAACCAATTGAGTCAATTTTCAATTTCGTAATGTCTTCTTTGCTTTTATATATATAAAAATTTTTTTTAAAGTATAAATACAAAAGCTTGATAAGTTTTCTTTATAGGATTTTTATTATTATCAATTGACTTACATTAAAGATATCTTATCATTAAAAGTTTTATTGTGAGAAAAACTTATATCATCTGAAATATAATGTACATTATTTTTTTTTTATTAAAGAAAATGATAATTATTCCACAATAATATAAAAAAAATTTTTTTCACGTTTAAATCTTTCTGGGATCCGATAATCAAATCCACCTTTTTTATATACTTGGGACAAGGTTAGGATGTCTGTTAATTCCACAAAACGATCTGACATTGTAAATGTTTTTTTTCAACTAAAAAAGGTTTAAGACTTGTTAAAAGTCGTGGGATGGATAGATTCTTTCTCGATATCTCGATATATACAGGAGGAACATTTTTTTTTTTTAAAAATGGTAATTTTATAGTGATCGACTTAATTGGTGAAACATGCTACAGATACGAAATATCTTTGGTGATATCAACAAACTCACCTGCGATGTCACAAAGAACATCGAAATTAATTCTGTCTGTAATTGGTCTTTAAAAATTAAATTCATGTAAATTGATAGATCTTGACGACATTTGAGATTTTTTGGATTGTTTTGAGTTTAACATATTTTAAAGTGATGTATAAATTAAAAATCGGAATACAGTACAAGTCACCTAATTGCCAAACTTTTCTTGTAGATCCCTTAACTCCTCCATGTAAGACCAAAAAAACAAATCATGGTTTTGAAGTTAAGACAATTTTATAATTTCATTATGTTGATATTGTTATCATGGAGGAATTAAGGCTTAATTGATCAACGATAGAAATTTTAATATACAGATCCGGGATATTAAACATTATTTATTATTATTATTATTAAAATTTAGGAGATCACAAAATCCAAAATTGACCATTATTTTTTTTTAAAGAAAAAAATCATTTCTCATGAAAATATATTAAAAAAACATTTTCTTTTTTTTTAAAAAAAAAATATATTAAAAAAAAACATTTCCCGCATTTTTTTTTTAAGAAATATAATAATAAATTATTATTTTAATAATGACCACTTCAGTCCAATTATTATCTGCTGGTATCATAGACTTTGATTTACATCATGGAATCCATGCAAAAGATTGGTGGTGGCAAACCTCCAAAAAAGTGAATAAAAGTGATATTTGTTTTTATCATCCAATTTGCATTGGAATGAAAACACAATTTTTCTTAAATGGTAAAAAGTATATATTGCATATTGTAAAATGTTACAAAGATAATGAATTTTGTCCAGGATATTGTTGTCAATGTAAATAACTTTCAAGTGAAGTTGAAAAAAATCCAACCGATGCTGTATCCAAGTTGTATCAAAATATTAACCCTAATTCAACAAGAAGAATATCTGGAGCTGAGGTTTTAGGATTTGAATTGGATGAAGTTGTTCAAGAGTTGTTATTAAATATTGAATTTAGACCATATTCAATTCAAATAGAAAATAATATCAACTTATTTATTTGTGGCCTAAGGAGTTCAAATAACAATGCATTATGTGGAGCTGGGAATGGTTATGTATCTACTTTTAATTGTACTTATAGGATGTCCATTATGCTTTTTTCATTTCAGTATAGGTTTTGGACTAAAGCCATTGATCCTAAATTTGACAAAAATAATATTGATTTTTTATATAAATCTGGTTTTTTAAGTACATACCATCTTACAATAGCAAAGAAACCTTTTGGAGTTGTTTCAAGCAAAGTCTTGATGAGAATAAAAGAGGGTTGGGTGGAAAGCAGAGGATATTATCCATTATTGCAAATGATTTTTCATATGACACATTACAAAAAAATTTACAAGTAAGGATCTATGGTTGACTTGGTCTAAAGACTCCTACTACTGCGCCACGTACACAAATTTCAAAAAATGCGATTTCGTGATTCATTCAAAAATGCAATAAATTTTTTTAAAAAAAGGGTTTCGGCTAAAAAATTATTTTCCTTACTGCCAAATTTAGATATGATGGTCGAGTATTAGTCTAAATTTCGTAACAATGATCAAAAACTAGTCTAAATTTAGCAATGATCATAGCGCACAAATTTCTCATGAGCATAGTAAAGTACATGTTTTAAAAAAGAATAGAACTCTACAACAAATAATTTTTTTGAGAAAATCTCTTTATTACATTAAAACTAAATACATATTCTATCAACTAATAGAGCTATTTTTTAAAAAGATAGGATAGAAAATGACTTCTATACTTTTAAAATTTTAGGAGGTCTTTAGACTGAGCCAGCTATATAATTAATAATTAACTAATATATTTATTTATATACACAAGCCAATGAACTTTTATTAGGTTTCACCTAATTCTATATCAGGAGCTAAAAGGTTTTCTCAAATTTATGGGCATCCCTCCAGTTAATTTTTGTGTTCCCATAATGGTCTCTCCTGTTTAGTAAAGTACATGTTTTAAAAAAGAATAGAACTCTACAGCAAATAATTTTTTTGAGAAAATCTCTTTATTACATTAAAACTAAATACATATTCTATCAACTAATAGAGCTATTTTTTAAAAAGATAGGATAGAAAATGACTTCTATACTTTTAAAATTTTAGGAGGTCTTTAGACTGAGCCAGCTATATAATTAATAATTAACTAATATATTTATTTATATACACAAGCCAATGAACTTTTATTAGGTTTCACCTAATTCTATATCAGGAGCTAAAAGGTTTTCTCAAATTTATGGGCATGGGTGCAAGCCTTTAGAAAAACCAGTTTATACATGAAAAACCAGGATTACTGAAGAGATAAAATCACAATTTGATGCATTTTTTTCAGACAAGGCCAATGTTTCTATGAGCTCTTATAAGGTTGGGCCTAAAACTGAATTACCAATATTATATTTGCAAGATCAGAAGATTTCTTTATGGAAAAAATACTCAGAAACATATCCAAATGGAATGTCAAGGTCATCATTCATGCTTCAATCTTCAATTACAAAATAGCAGGTATAAATATAGAGATGGCTTAGGTGGACTCTGTTCAATTTGTGCTGATTATGGATATAGTGTGTCTGAAGATTTAAATAAAGTTGTAATAAAATATGTGAATGATAGTGGCATGCAGGTAATTGTTTATAATATTGTTTTATAATATTAATTATGTTATTTCATTTTCTATTACTTATATCATCATATATAATAGAAAGAGTTGTCAGAAGAAATTCAACTAATTAAAAGGCATATGAAAAAAGATTATGAAAATGAAATAAGGAATAATATTAATAATGGACAATTAAAGCATGATAAGTGCCTTGATCATTGTTACTACATGCATTTGGTGAATGTAATGATGAGCATAATTTAAGATGCATGGATTGTTTAAAAATTCATAATTTTTTTGAAAACTTGCAGACAAAAATTGTACTATTATTTGGCACATCAAACAAGAAAGGTGTATTAAATACCCAAATTAGATCTAATTTATTAGAATTGGATAATAATGGTGCTATAATAATTGTAGATTATAAAATGAGGATATTACCAAAGACAGCTCAAGAGACCAAAACTGGATTTTTTGGAGGACATTACATTCAGTTTTAATGTATACCAGACTTGAAGATCAAGAAGATTACAATATAGCTGCATATGATCACTGGTCTGATGATACAAAACAAGATGCATGGTTTACAGCATCTCCCTTAAATGCAGTTTTTGAAACAATGTTAGAAAAACCAAAATGGATACAATTATTTCTGATAATGGACCTCATTATCATAATTCAGAAATGATGGTGAGTTTATCATATTGGAAAGATTGGTATGATATTACAATTCGTAAATGGATTTTTCTTGAAGCTGATGAAGCTAAAACTACAATTGATTCTCATCATGCTCAGGTAAATCTTTTATAAATTATTTTATTATTTTAATTAATTAACTAATTAATTTCAACGTTTATAGATTGCATATTCGATTAAAAGATATGTTAGATTAGGGATGCAATGTTATAGAAGGTAATGATATTGAAAAAGCAATCAATTTAAAAGGTACTTCAGTGGCAAACTTGGTACCAAATAGAGAAAAAAACAAAGGAAAAATAAATACAATAGCTGGTATATCCAATTGGTTTGAATGGAAATAGCCAACAGAAGATCAATATGCTGGTTATTAGAGCTAGATCTTTACCTAACACGGGTGAATGAAAAAATTTTTCTCCAGTGCAAATTCAAAAATTATTAAAAGTAGAAGTAATTAAACTTCATCCGCAAATTTCTATTCCAACCAAATCAAATATACCCTGGACTTCTTCAATCTCTAAAATATAGGTAATTGTTTGTAGAAATTATTTAAATTAGTTATTTACAATTTATTTGAAAATAAATTTTTTATTGGAGGCTAATAAATCAAAAACCAGTAATACAATGGTTCAACCAAGCCAAATATTGTGAGTCATTTAAATCCACAAATTATTGTTATTTAGAACTAAATTGAAAATTAACAAAATATAATTTTAAATAGTATTTTTGATAGTACTTATTTGAAAGTATTTGAAAATGTTACTGTTACGGATATTCGAATAAGAATCGAATATCATTTCCATAAAATTACGAATATTCGAATATGGAGTTAGAGACACAAATAGGAACACTACACCACAACAAACAACAAACAACAATCTAATATGGCTCTTCCATATTATACAACACAACCTAACAATATAAAATAGTAATAGTGAATTGAATAATTGTAAACTTTTTTTAATTGGCACAGAAATCTAACACATTGTCAAATTGTATTGAGTTTTATTTTCTATTCACCAACTTTATTCCCACCAACTAATAATAATTGATAGTAATATGAATGAATGCCTCTTGTGATAATCTTGCGAATATTGATATCAACAATCCTGCGATCAATTCCTATTCTTATATTTCTTATCCACTGACCGGTGTATTAAGTGATGATCTACCATTCGATGTATCGAAGGATTTGTGGGATATTCCAGAATTGGCGATTCTATTGTTTTTAGAATCATTAATCAAGCTAGTGATGATAATTGGGTTGAGATTTGATAAAAATTCAGCATTACAATATGGGGCATGGACAATAGAAACACAACCAACGTCAAAATCATGATTTTGAGAAAATCAAAAAAAAAAAAAAGATTTTTGCCCCAAAATTTAATTTATATTTAGAAAATTATTGTTATTATTATAATATTTAGTGGCTGTGTTCGCAATTTGGGTTGGAGTGGATTACGCCTTAAATCCTGTTCACTAGGATAATCTCTGAAATTAGGATTATATTATTCTTACTTTAAAATTCTGATCCTACATTTTTTGTTGATTATAACAAGGATTGCAATTTGATTTAATTAAATTCATTTATATTTCGTACTTTTTTAAAAATAATAATAATAATAAATATGGACGTTACTGATCTCGTGATAGTGAATCTGCAGTTTTTTTCAATCCATTTGTGATGTATCTTGTTGATTAGGTGGTAGGTCGCGGTTTAAAATACGGGTTTGTAAGTTAGATCGAGTTAGTTTTATTTTGTTCTAATATAAATGTATAGATATATATAATCATGTATATTGAAAATCATTAACATAAATAAACTAATCAGACCTCACTGAAAAAAAAAAAAAAATGTATCTTGTTGATTACTGCCTATTTAGTATGATCTATTTATATGTTTATAATTTCTCAAAACTTTATTAAGTAAAATGGCATGGTTTCTAAACTGCAATTAATCCTTGCAGTGAATTGCATATTAACTCAAATTTGTTCCCGGGGACGTGGTCGTGTCTCTATTGTCTATGATTCGATGTCATATGTTGATGTTGGATTAGTGGAAGGATTATTTTTGCTAAATATTAAAATATGAAAATTATTTTATTTTATATTATATTAGAGGGATTTTCTTTTTTCAAGTAATAATTAACATGTTTTACTGTAAAATATTTTTATTTTACTATCATTTCTCATTTACAACAGAATATAATATAATTGATTTTATTTCTCAATTAAATAAACAATCAATCATCGATTGTTCTTTTCTTATTCTAGACAGACCTAATACATATAAGCATGAATTTTTTTGATAACCTTTAATTATTTTACACTTTTACAAAGATTACAAACAACACCGTTAAAACTAAGATTCCACCCAGAACAGCAATTGGCAAATAAGGTTTATTTTCTTGTGCTCTTGTCAATGGACTATTTCCATCACATACTGCGCATGTATAATCTAAATTTTTTTTTTGTAAAAAAAAAAAGAAAATAATTAATTAATAGACCTCTCTCTTCCCAACCCAAATATTTATTCCCCAAACTAAAAGAAAATCCTTCCCCCAAAAAGAAAAAAGCCCTCACCAGCTAAATTAACTTTTGGCTTTGGAGTATACAACTGAAAACGTGAACCAACAAAAGGTTCTAGTTGTCCAACAGAGGTATTAATTGGCGATGGACCTCTTTCATCCCATATATATAAAAGATAAGCTCCTGCTGGTGGTGTTGGATTTGTTTGTAGGGATGTATCCCATACAATAGAAGTTGTCTCAGGCGGAAGATTTGACCCAATTGAGAAATTAAAAATTCTCTTGTCGGCGTCAATGTTTTTTATAGTATAAACATTTAAAGCTTTTGGTGCATATACTGGATCAAAATTTGCAGTATATGTCCAATTGAACTGATATTTTTTTCCTATTTTAAATATTAACGGAATAATTGTTGGAAAAGTAACTTTTACTCTTACTGCTTGATCACTGGATGAAGGCAAGGCAGGATTTTGTGGTGTTGTTGGCGTTGGTGCAACTTTTGGATCTTGTGGTTGTTGTTGTGGTGGTGGTGCAACTTTTGGATCTTGTGGTTGTTGTTGTGGTGGTGGTGCAACTTTTGGATCTTGTGGTTGTTGTTGTGGTGGTGGTGCAACTTTTGGATCCTGTGGTTGTTGTTGTGGTGGTGCAACTTTTGGATCTTGTGGTTGTTGTTGTGGTGGTTGTTGTTGTGGTTCTGAAGGAAGAGAAGGATATATGTGTATTTTCTAAAATAATTTATCATCAATCAATCAATAATAATATACTTTTTTTTTTATTTACCTCTTTTATATATTACTTCTCCGATTGAAATTTGAAATAGCGAGCATGATATCAAGATATACAAAATTATTAATGTGATTGAATTTTGTTTCATTTTTTTTTGTATGAAGAACGAGCAAAGCCCATTTTTTTTTTATTTAAAAAATTATCGTGCCTCGTTACACGAAATATTAATAGCTACTATTAATACCACATACACCTTGTTATAATAGGAATCAAGTTGATTGATGTAACAAAATTATCCATTTTAGGATAAAAAAATATCACGAATGCTAAATCGATCCCAGACTGTCGGTCCAGAATCACGTCGGATCAAGTATTTTTAAAAAAAATTAATTAATGTGAGGGATAATCGCCAACATATTAAACGTTTATATTATGATCTATTTTCAATAAAATTATAAATGAAAAGTTCATAGATAAACAAGTTTATGTCGGTGTTTAAAAATAAAATGATAAGGGTGTGTTTATTATATTTGAAATGGCAACTCCGTATTTATTTTTACATTGATAAATAAATGATCTGCGAATTAAAAAATAATTTATAATATTGACTTGGTTTTAACAATCTGACAATTTATTTAAAAGCTTATTCGATAAAACAAATGAATAAAGAAAATCTGTCTTTACATTATACCCAATAAGAATTTCTATTTCTATCCAACAATAATGATAAGGTGAAGATCACTTATTTCTCAAGTTAATACTATTCTATATATAGTCAACACTTTTGTATTGGTTAATTAATAAAAATTAGTTAAATACTAGCGTGTAACCTTATTTAATTAGATTTTGTGTATCGAGAATAAAGATTTCATGGACCTGTTGGAAAACGGAAACGTAATGATTAGTTCTATCGAGCATATCCTGAAGTTCCGTCAGTACAGTAGGATTTAGTTGGGGCATCACATTCAACCTGTTTTGAAGTTCATTTTCAGTGTCGTAGAGTGAATTTGTGCAAAATGTGGTTGTGTACTGTCATTTGACGGGAGAAGAGATCCAATATTGTGATACATCTTTCCATGTATATACGAAAGGTGTAAATCCCTGTAATAGTAATATCACACATAAGCGGGTTTTAGTAACGAAATCACAAAATCACAAAATAGCATCAATTAACGCAATGATACATGTATGATATATATATATATATATATAGCTTTAGTACCTGCGGTTTGCGCATCAATGTGAGCACCTATAGACGTAAATGGTAAAGCTGAATTGTATGCTTGAATCTTTTCTCGAAATTGGCGTGAGCGTGTGTTGGATCCAAAAAGAAGAGAGTACAACGGTTCGGGAGGATCCTAGAGGGGAGGGAGTTGCACTCTACTATTAGAGCAGTAAATAGTAAATTTTGAGTTAGTGAGGGATGAGTCGCTCTTCCTTTCGTCCACCCACATAATGCCCTGCAGTCAGTACAAACTTTCTCCATCCTCCCAATGGAATGACGCAAAACTGGTATATGTAGGGGTGTCAATGCTTTCTTACTGCTCGTTGTAGCATTTATGGGAACATAAATCCTTAAATGTTTCGTTCACTAATTTGGTTTTTTGCTTAAATTTTCAACTAATTTATAATCCTTAATTTTCAACATGTTCAAATGTTCAAATTTTTAATTTTTAATTCAATTTTTTTCTTAATTCGTCACGCAGGCATCAAACGGTTTATTTGTTTTTAAATTTTTTTTCTTTCAGATTTCCAACGTTTATATGGTCAAAACGTTCCATTAAATTTTAAATTTTTGTTGTCATGTATGCGTCAATGTATACGTCAGAATGCATTATTTTTATCATTCACTAATTTAGTTTTCTTGCTTAAATTTTCAACTAATTTTTAATTCTTAATTTTCAACATGTATATTTTAACATGTATATGTTCAAATGTTCTATCTAATTTTTATTTTTTAATACAATTTTTTTCTTGTTTCGTTACGCATACGTCAAACGTTTTATTTGAAAAGGGGTAATTTTTCACCGTATAAGAAATATTCCGTATGTATATTTTTAAAAACATATTTAGCATACGTTAATTCCGTATTTTATTTTTCATAGAGTTGTATTGGATGTTGATGTTGATGCTGTTGATGATGATGTATCAGGTGTTGATGTTAATGCTGTTGATGATGTATTTGATGTTGATGTTGATGGTAACACTTAATTAAAAAAAGTCCAAAAGAAATGAAAAGTTGTTCATTAATCACTAATACCATTAATTAAAATACTTACCCTTTCATTATTATGTTCATTATCATCATCATTAACATCAAAATTATTATTAACATCTACATCAGCATTATATCTCACTCTTTTATTACTACTATATTCCGTTGCAACGTTAAATGATACTGGTATATCATTTGGTCCCTCATATCATTTTCCTTTTGTAAACTCATAGAAATTACATGCCTCTTCACAAATGAATATGTGCATACCTAAAATTAAAAAATTTGTTAGAAATTGAAATTATTGTGTATTTATTCACTATGTATCCCAATTTAGATTTTTTTATCACATGTACAAAACAAAAATTACTAGAATTGAAAATTCTTTGTAGCCACTCTTCCAATTATATGCCCCTTAATAAACACGGATTGGTCAGGCTTTCTACAACAGTCATATCTTATAGGTTGAATAGAATCTACATCTACAATTTCGCGAAGCAAACTAAAATAAGTAAAAATAAAATAAAAACCTCCACAAGGAAAAAAAAATTTCATACGTTTCCACAAAGAGTGAAAAACAAGAAGCACTTCCACGAAGGAAGGGTGTAAAGAAACGAGAAACACTTCCACGAAGGAAGGGTGTCAAAAACGAGAAACACTTCCACGAAGGAAGGGTGTCAAAAACGAGAAACACTTCCACGAAGGAAGGGTGTCAAAAACGAGAAGCACTTCCACAAAGGAAGGGTGTAAAAAAACGAGAAGCACTTCCACGAAGGAAGGGTGTCAAAAACGAGAAACACTTCCATAAAGGAAGTGTGTAAAAAAAACGAGAAACACTTCCACGAAGGAGGGGTGTCAAAAACGAGAAACACTTCCATAAAGGAAGGGTGATTGATTATTAAATTGATGTAACAGGTGTAACAAGTAAAAATTTTATTTACATCAACAAAAAAAATCTAAATCTTGTTAATGTCACGTACATTTTAAATTCGTGTAATTAATTCTGGTCGCGTTTACTTCGTCGACAATCATTTCGTCGACACCATTTCGTCGAAAATTATTTCATCCTCGAGCCAGAGACCGAACGAGTTAGATGTGAGGAGTGTGGGAAGTTAGTTAAGAAATTAGGTGGGGAAAGCGGTGTGTGTGAGAAGTGTGTGGAGAAATTTGTTTAATGAAGTTTTTTTTGTGTCGAAATAATTTTCGACGAAATGAACATTCGACGAAATGGGTGTCGACAAAATGAATCAAACCCTTATTTTTTTATTTATTTATTTTTCTTTTTATCACCCAGCTTTGATATCATCGTTTCTGATTCTGGATTGGCCAGTAAATGTAATCTTTAAAGGTTGTAAAATCATTAAATTGTTATTGGTTAATACCAAATTGTTAATATTTGGATAGAAATTCAGATAGTTGTGGATCAATTCAATTATTAACTAGCAACAACAAATTCGTAAGAATGGATGAAAAAATCTTTTTAATATGCTTTATCTTTGAAGAAATCCAAAATGTCATATCCATTGGATTAGAGTTTTTGATTTGTTAAGAAAAATTAACTAATGATTTTATTATTGCAATTAATATGATGTTAAATGAATGTAAGATTTAATTTATTTGTATATTCTTTGTTTAATAAATGTATATTTTGAAGGATGAAACTAGTCAATATTAATATTAATCGAAGCATAGCTTAAAACTAATTGGTGCCTGAACATGGGAAGAAAAATTTAACGGAAGGAAGCAAGAGTAAGTCAATCAGTCCTTTTATTTTTCGCATTCTTTTTTTGTTTTAATTAATGAGATTATTATTTTTATCCTGGATCTTTTATTTAATTTATTAATATATATGTCACATGTCACGAGTACCACGTTATAATTGAGGGTTGGATATAATAATAAGTTCATTTGTATTAGAAATGAAACTTACCTACCAATGACAATAATACTAGAAGGAATTCTTCTTGCTGAAGGTATTACAGATCTGTCACAAACATCAATAGAACCAAAAAACCTCACATCAAGATGGGAAAAAGTCAATTGAGATTGCAAAAAAGTTTTTAGAACAAAGTGATTTTGCTATTAGTGAATATATTAAATATATTAATGATATAATAAAACTTTTAAATGTATCTACAGATAGAAAAAAAGTCAATCTTCGATAAAAAATAAATTTTCAATAAATTATCACGTGATGGATTTTAGTTATATCCCAAAAAAAAGGGGAATATAAATGAATTATGACTGTAAATTTGTTTTTCAAAAAAAAAAATGGCACCTAAAAGAATCCAGATCAGAAAAAAAAAAGAAAAAAATAAAGAACAAAATGAGTAGTGTTTATCATAAGAATGGTGGTGGTTATTGCCACTTGTTGTCACTCTAGTTTTACTATGGAAATAATATATCAATACTGAATTTTTAACAAAACAATTTCTAGACAGTGCCAATGAAAGCATACCAAAACATTTGACAAAGGTTAGTACTGTGATTGAATCTGCCAAGAATTTATTTGTTTTAATCTTACAAATTTAATTCTAGGAAACATCCAAATATTATCCCAACAGTCCTTTTATTGTATCTGATGATGATGATGATGATAAATCATATTGTCCTAATTCAAATGAATCAAGTGATGGTTCATACATTGAATTGAGGCCCAAATTTATTTATGAATGGTTTATTGGACCAGGAATAAAAGAATCTTTATTAAGTAATGATGCAAAGAAGATAATATCTTAATTTTTATTTAAGTTTAATTTTTCTTTATATACACAGTGGGTTGTTAATGAATTGGATGTTTCAGGTATATTGATGGAGTATCATGATATATGTCTGTTAAAAAAGCTTCTGAGAACAAGACCAAGGAGATTGCTGAAATACTGTATGTATGAAATTTCTACAATGATTGATTAAAGTGAAAGTTCAATCTATATGAATTCATAATGATTAATAATTTTGATTGAAAACTTTTTAATTTGAAACTCTTTTAGATTAAGCTTCCACATACAATGGATGTATATTTTTAAATATTTTGATGAGCATATTATACCAAAGAATGAAGAAAGCCAATTTGGAAGAAATATTCTCACTTGCTATGAAAATAAATAAAAAATAAATTAACTTCCACGATATGTTGTGTAAGAAAATGGGCTTATTAATAAAGGGATATGATAATGTTGATTAGGATCTTTAATTTCAAAAATAACCTATAATAAATAAATAAATAATTAATTAATTAATTTATTACAATTTAATATTATTATTTGAAAGAATTTTTTAAGTATTTACTTGTACATAAGGATAAAATGAAATCTGTCCCAATTTTTGAAAATATGCAGAAGTATAAAATGTTATACGATAAATTGCTGACTCATTATCACCGTTGAATGTAATTTTGTAATCTGAAGAAACAAGATTTTGACATCTTCCGTCATTATCTGATTCTCTATTTATGCAAGGAAAAAATTTTTTTTAGATAATTATTATTTTAACTCAAATAAATAAATAAAATATACTTTACGTTTCTCCAATTATTGTCCAATTTTCTTTATCTTGAAACTCTTTGAATTCAAGTTTTACTTTAACATTATTTGCAGGCTTCCCGCGTGAAGAATCAAGAATATGACAAGTTATGGGACCACGCTTTGCTGACATTTTTTTCTTAAAACAAAAAAGTTATTATTTGAACACGTACTGCGGCATATAGTTGTAAAAAGTTCTAGTGGTAAATCGTGTAACGTAACAACATCAGATTTTGTGTGACTTTGATTTTTAATTTAATATTAAGAGAACGTTCGCTCTTTTGAAGTTTTACTCTAATAGGAGTTTTTAGATTCTGATAATACTTAGATGATCCGCACTGTATAAAACAGTTAACCTAAACTTAACAACAAAAACCTAACATTTAAAAACAAATTTTTTAAACATATAGAATTTCAATTACTTGTATGCTGTTAAATCAATTCACTTTATGCAACTTTTGACCATTTCTATGACTAAAGATTCTTTTATCTGTTGTTGATTTGTCTACTTTAGCAACTTTTTTCATCTTAATTGTCTCTTATACTATTTTAAAAATCATTGAACTAAAATTGATAACAATGTAATAAAATAAATCAAAGATAATAAAATAAATAGTCAATGTGTGACAAATCACGCTCGGTAACACGTGCATCATGCACATGATGAAAATCAAAGTTAGCCCTGATCGCTCGCAATCTCTATCTAAAAAAAAAAGAGGAAGTATGCCATCACGAGATATTAATTTCCATAATCTAAAACGAGTAGATTATGTTGGATCTTCAAGGAAAATTTATATGAGGAGGTTGAATTTTTCTAGAATCAATTTCCAAATTTGGAAATCTCCTTGACTGTATCTAATGATCACAATCATGAATATCGATAAAATAAGCTTAAAATAAAATGTAAACCAAACCAAACCACTAGTGGGTGATAAGAATATTCAAAAGAAATTGAAAATCTGTGGAAGGATTTTAAGCAATTATTTGATAAAAGATTGAGTTAGATCCAGACCTTTCATTTAGTGAAATGGTGGTGGAAATCCATGAATTACTTGAAGAAAAAAGTGTTTTGCCTTTACTTAAAAAATTTCTACCAACAAAAAATGAATCCTAGAAGGAAAATGATAGAAGCAATCCAGGAATCAATAAAGAAAAAGATTAAAAAATGGAGGAGATATAGATAGTGATTACAGTCATCAATTTTTTGATTTACGTCATAGAATTGTTTTTATGCGCAGATTTTATAGTGATGTAAGTAACCAAGAAAGAGCTTAATCAAGACCTGCAAAAAAATTCACTGTTGAAAGGAAGCACCTTTTAAATGATATTGATGAAGATATTGTAAACATTTTTATTATTGTTGATTATTTAGATAAAATAAAATTGTGTTTGGCTATTGAAAGATTTGCAATTTGATTAGTTTGATTTATTTTACCTGAGAATGAATGGATTGGTGATGTTTCTATGTAAAACACAATTAATGTTTATCATATGGTTGATTTAGATTGTCTTTGATGTAAATCAAATAAAATCAAAGATTCACAAAACATTATCTTGATTGTGTAATGTTTATGATTATAATGTATGCGTATAAGTAGAAATAGAGATAAAGCATTCATTACAAAATCATTAAATCATGATCACATTATCTGTTATATATTGATGATGACTAAATCCGAAAATCCTTGGTGATGCGGTTTACTCCATATGTAAAATATTCATAATTTATTTATATACAATGTATATTTTATAAACTATTTGTAAGTAAACCAACTAATAAATAAATTAATTAATGAAAAAATCTATTTTCCAATACATAATCAATTGCTGGTCTATCATCAACCATAAAATTAAGCATTCTAATAATTAGAACATTTATAATATCATCATTTATTTCTCTGGAAATTTTTTCCTTAATCTTGTCCAACTTAACAAGTAAAAGATTATTTGTTGTTGTTGTGTAAAATAACTTTTTTGTAACAAGATAATAGAGTAGACAACCTAATGAATAAATATCAATAGCATAGTGTGATATTGAATCAGAATTTAAATTTAATACTAATTCAGGTGCACTAAATCCTAAAGCAAATGGCAAATTATTATTATTATGTTGATGTTGATGACGTTGATGATATTGATGATTGTTATTGGTTGTTGTGGGTAATGATTGTGTGTTTAATAATGAAGAAGAGATTGTTGGAATGTCTACGATGGAAGATCCAACTGTACAAGAGTATTTAAAATCTGACAGCTTAATCTTCCAGGGTTTATCACTATCCTTGCAAAAAATATTTGAAGGATTTAAATTCATGTGCTGAAAATAAACAATTGGATAAATTAATTAATTGAACAATTATAAATTATAATAATAATTGGAGGAATTTACCTACAACAATTCCATTTTTATGCAAGAATTGAACGCCTTTACAAATATTCAAGAATAATTCTCTGGTAAATTTTAAAGTGTTAAATTTGTCAATGCTAAGATCTAAACTTTTGCCAAAGTGTTCCGTGATAATAATATATTCATTATTAATACTACTCCTATTATTATTATTGATTATTAATGTGTCTTGAAATTTTAGAATATATGTAAAAGAACTGTTTAATTTTTTAATTATTCCAATTTCATTTTCCCAAAGAAGTCTATTTGAAAATACTTTAATTATGACAATATCATCATTTCTAATATTTTTGCCGGTATAAATCTTATATTCTTCGTCATTATTGTTGTTGTTATTGTAATTATTTAGTAATAAATTTCGTATAACATAATTATCTGAAATTATCCTTTGATCATTATTATTGTTATTGTTAGGCAGTAATGATGTTGCTTTATTTACCAAATAGTTATAGTTGTTGGCTTTGTTTTTATTATTAATATTTCTTATTCTATTAAATCGAATATCATTTTTTTTAATCTCATCATCATCATCAACATCAACATCATCATCATCATTGTTAAAGGGAAGATTATTTTTACTGTTAAATGAAAAAATATTATGTATATTTGAAATCTTTTGTTGAATTCGTGTTGATGATTGTTTTGATGTTGATCTATTATCAAATGATGACAATAGCTGTATTTTTGATGAATTGCTAGTGAGACTATTATCATTAGAGGATGAGGAAAAAGAAGAAGCTGCTGATTTTCTTGAAGATATTGACTGAGAAATTTTATTATAATTACTATTATTACTAGTATCATTGCTTGTATTTCTACTAGTAGTAATGGTATTAGTAATAGTATTAGTATTAGTATTAGTATTAGTATTAGTATTTGATTCTAGTAAAGATGATGTTGCTGAAGTTTTAAGATGTTTGTCGAATGATGCTGATGTTGTTGATGATAATGGCGCAGATGATGCTTTGAATTGATTGTTAATTTTTTTTTGTAATGATGGAGATATTGGGATTGTAGCAGGTGGTAATAATTGAGTTAACTTGATAATTTTGTGAAAAGATAACCTAAATTCTATTTTAGAAGATACACTTTTGGCATTACGTATGGAAATTGGCCCAACTGATATATTAATTAAAGTCAATAAATATATATTAATATTAATTGAGTGAAAAGGTAAGAAAGTAAGAAAGTAAGGAATAATATAGAAACTTTAGAAATATTACTTTTTGTGAAACCTGTTTGTGACAAATCATCACAAAATTTTTTCTCGAGAGTGCTAGAGTATGAATTGAGCTTTAAACTAATATGCGGATGTGTATGACTTAACAACGATAGACGTTGTGTTATTGTTAAAATATTAGAGCTATGTTTTATTAGAAATGAAATTGGATATTTCCATTTAGTTGGTTTTACTGTTTTATAATGATCTTTGGTTGAATGGATTTCATCGTCAAACTTTATCTCTACACGGCCAGGAATTCCGCTTAAATCTTCACTGTATAATTACAATTATGATGAAGATGATTATTATAATATTATGATTAATATATCTTTATATTATATTGTATACATCATACGTACAATATCATTTCTTTTATTAGCATAATACCAGCCACATTTTTTTTAAGCTTTAGATCATTTAATATTTTTGATGAAGCTTTTGGATTTTCCTAAAGGTGAGGATTAGAAGATTGGTTTTTTCTAAGAAAGATAACAAAATAAAAACAAACTTACATTTAATATATAATAAACTTCAAAGTTAATTTCGTAATTGTGATCTTTTGATATCAATTTTACTATGATAAAATAAAACCATAAATATTATCAATTAGTTATATTATATCTATTTCTCCCTAGAAGTTAAAACAAAGGAAAATCTAATCAGTTATTTATTATACCTTTATTTTCATGAGGATCAAGTTTAATTAGATTTATTTTTATTTCAGTCAAGATTCCATCTCTTCCTTTAACTCTATTATCCCAACATCTAACAATTAATTCTGTGTCTTTAGGAATGTTTTTTGGTTTAGATAATTTTAGTAAAATATTCTCACTCCAATAAGCGGCTTTATCTGAATTTAATAGACTGATTGATGAATAATTGGTCGATCAATCGATTGATCAATTGATTGTAAATTTAAATATAGCAGAATAAAAAATCGAAAGGTTTACATTTTGAATGGAGGAGTGTAATTATTTTCATTATTGTATTCAAATTCCAATTGCAAATTAAGTACTTCATTGATATTGAATGCACTTTTAAATATTTCACTGATTTTTGTATGATTTTTTTCTTGTTTATGATCATGATTATAATTTTTTAATATACTTTTTGAATTTAGATTATCGTTTTTAAGGGCAATTTAATTTAATAAATGAATTAAGCAAAATAAAATAAAAACAAATAAAAAATAAAAAGACACTTGAATTACCATCCAATTTTCTTTATTAAAATAAATCCAACATATTTATTAATATTAATGCTCTTGATGTTATTCATCGATGGATCCATTTTAATTTTATGGAAAAAATAAAGAATTAAACTTTATATTTTTTTTTTTTTCCTAAAGAATTAAACTACATTTTTTTTTTTCTAAATAAACTAATCAAATGAGGAAACAATCATTTTATTATTTGGTATATATAAGCACATGACTTATTACCATATCTAGTATAGTTGTACCTCCCATATAGGAACAATATCAAAAACCTTCCTTCTATGTTTGTAACCAATCACTATTAATTAAAACTTCTAGAAAAATATTTTCATCCCCCCTATAATAATAAGAGCTTTTATCAAAAGACTACTTCTTTTTTTTAGAAAATGATACAGTCAGGCTTGAGTATAGTCATCCTGTTATTATTCAATTTTTTTCTAGAAAATCCTGTTGAGATACAATTCAAATTACAAATACATTGATTCTTGCAATTAATCCATCAACAATATCAACAATAAATATAGTAGTGGTGTACCTATAACGCATCAGAACTGTGCGAAGCATCTAATATTAGAAAAAACATGTAAAAATTTGCTAAAAGGAATATTTAGTGTTACCTTTTTTGAGAGATATTCTCATTTCACAAAAAATTACTTCTATAAAAAGACCGGGAAAACTCTATTGTATGTGACCGCCAAATTAAATAACAAATCATATTAATGCGAATCGATTTTCCGAACACATTTTAAAATTATTAATAATGCGAATCAAAATAGCCGAGGACATGAAATTATCTTTATTGATTAAAAATATTTAAAAGAAAGTTTTGTGTACTTGATTGACTAAAATGATTATAAATTAAAAATGTTTCATCATCTACTGCAATCAAACAAGATTAATATTAGAATAAGAACGTATTCCCAAAAAACAAACTACTTCTCGTGGTGTAATATGAATTGTAATGTCTCCTGCCAAATTTTCATATGAAAAATACCATTGTGATACAGGAAGATAAGCCTTAATAGAAATATATGATAAATGATCTAAAAATCCTGCCGGCCTTTCTACCCTTGAATGTCCTTGCCCACATTTTTCATAAAACATAATAACTTTGCCCAAACACTTGATAATTGACTCCAAGTGAAATAATTTGACCACATTTACAAATAACTTTTTTAGCATTGACAAATTCTTGAAAGTTAGAGTATGTAGTAAAACGTTTTTGACGTGAATCATAAGGATTTTTTTTTATTATTTTTATTATGATTTTTCATTTTAAATTTTTTAATTTATTATTGGTGACTTTTTTAATTTTTATCAGTATTATTATTTATTATAGTGTAACCGATAATAATAATAATAAAATTTTTTAATAATGCGAATCAAGTGTAACTGATGACATTTTTTATTTTTCTCTGTCTGCGAATCTATGGTGAGGCGGTCACATTTTTTTTTTTAAAGGTACTTTCGACTCATAGTGTTGGCGGTCACATTCAATAGAGTTTTCCCGGTCCTTCTATAAACATATGTATTACACATACAGTATACAATATCAACTGATTATTTGAGCTATTTTCTGACCTTTGGTTCAACATGAATACATTTTTTGGGAGTTGGCACTACTCATTCTTCTTATTAATAACTCGTATTCAAATTATAATACTAGTGTAAAGTGAACATCGCTTTCAGATTATACTATAACACGAACTAAAAATGTTCTTCATTATATAATAATTACTTTACGTGCATAATAATAATGGCGAAATAGTTTCGTCTCGAAATTAAAATAAAAATAATTTATTCGCAACAAATACTTAATATAGCATAATCAGTTTGAAAAAAATTATCCCTTAACGGTCACACTAATAAATTTCGGATTTTTTAATGGAATACAAAATTTAAACAATTGAATGTAACACGAAAATTTAATTGACGTTTTTAAATGAACTTATTTTTAAACTTCGGGCGAATCTTTGGTGATCTGCAAATTGGTTACACGAAATAACGACCATTTTTTGACTTTTAATATTAATAGCAGCCGAATTTTTTATTTATAGATCGTATTATTTTGACCTAAAGATCATTTTCATATTAGAACGTGATACACTCAAAACTAAATTTGGAATGGTTTATATGTAAAGGGTCGATATATCGACCCTTTGACCATTTAAGAGATAATTAAATTCGCATTACAACAAATTTTTGCTTCACATATAAAATTCGTTGAAACGCGGTAAGTAATTTTGGTATAGTTTGTTATTTATTTCTTATGTTTTATTTATTATTCAATTATTTTATTTTTCATAATATTATTAAACTGGAATGTGTCATTATATTTTATATCAATCATCCCTATTACTATAAAAAAGAAAATACAGAAAAGATACAGAAATAAACTGTATGGAAAATATGGAATTTAGATGATAATAATAAAGAACATTATGAAAAATTAGAGATGGGCAGATCAGTACTATACGTATAGTGCGTATAGTTCTAGAAAAATATAGTAGTAAATGTAAATCAATTCCTGTTTAGGTTATTGCCAAATAATAGATGTGATGTTACACATAAAAATTAATACTCTTCTCACGATAAATATATATTTTAAACTTGCCTGCAATTTGGCAACATTTTAATATTAACGTTCTAGTTCAATATCTAGATGTGAAAAA